CTGATGTAATGTAGGCTATTACTGAAAAAAATAAAGGTAGGACCCACCATCAACCATCTGAATCTGTATGGCTGCTTCATGTTTTATGAAGTCACTGTACTGTTTCAGTTTTACACAAGTTTTGTTTTCTCTTATTGAAGGATTTACGATCAAATTATAAACAAAAAGTTATACGTTATCGATTCAGAATCAAAAGAGTTACAAAATGCTTGAGTTGATGGATTGAAATTATTTTAGCTATGTTTACTCACCCGTAGCCTGGCTTGAGCTTGCACAAACAGATCACAGCAACAGAGGTTTATTATTCACTTCAACGGATATACTCGATGCTTGCGGGAGATATCTCGTTACATTCTGGACAGCCAACTGCCTTTATCTACCAATGCTGCTGAGCGTACATGCCGCGGCAGCAGACCGATACTGTTTGAGGATGTATTAACACTGAGGGCGATATAAAGCTATACTTTTTCAATAACTATATACAAAATTATTGAATGAAGGAATCATGATAATAACAGGCCTACTGATGAGCTACCTTGGGTAAATAAGACCGTTGATTTTGAGCAACAGTATATAAAACTTTTTTTTTTCTTTCTCGCTCTTCTCTACTGGACTAAATCAATTAAGGATATAGGCTAATTTAAGTTCATGAATTTAACATTAATAATCCGATGTAAATGGATTAGGCCAAGAGCCTTTTCCGAAGTAGTGACCACATTTTACCTATAATATTTCACCTCTCGAAATTACCTAATCCACAAAACTCATTTCCTGAAATGTTGTCAGCGCGACTAAAACTGTCGGGTGAAGCACCCAGAGACCCCTTGACAGATCGCAAAGCAGGGTCGATTTTACCCAACTCCCTATGCACCAAACTTTGTCAGTAGAACGTAGTGTGACTGGACATTACTCAACCAATTTTGGCTCATGTGGTATCATTTTTCTTATACATAGATTCCCCTTCTCCTGGAACCAATCAAATTTGCCCCACACTATGGAAAGTATGCAAGTCCGTTTTCTTTATGGACCACCCTGAATAGCAGTGTAGGTCCGTTCTTTAGGTACAGGATTGTGTCGGGGGAGGGGTTGTGCACCCGCGATTAGATGGAACGCGAGTATAACGAGAAAGTACACGAGATTGCATTATCTTCTTTCACGTTGCTCTTCCTTGTTCATTTTTGGAAAAGAAAGAATCTTTCCTACATGTCTCTTTTTCTTGATTTCACCATTTTACGGGACAGACGAAAAACTGCTGAACGGTGTATTATTGTAAAATAATACAATTAAACTATAAAAATATTGAAGTAGATATTCATTGATTTTAAAAACTAACTTTATTTTCATTATTGCAAAGTTGTAACTTTGATTCGAAAAGGTTATCAAAATTCAATGCTTGGAAACATTCGAAGTAATGATTATTATAAATTACAAAACGATTAAATACAGCCCCGGCATATTACCTGAAGAGCTCTCCGAACGCTGCTGAGATGTGTGAGATCACAGTATGGACATGATTTGCACAAGCAGAAGATGTCCCATGACATCTCACACATTTTCAGTGCCTGTGTTTTCATCTTTTCTTGAGTTCTTTCTCTTACTTCACTATCGTCAGGCTATTAGTAAATTTATAATCTATTGCCTCACTCTAAACCCTGCGCATGGTTTTATTTTGATGACAAATGCAGCGATACAAAAATGAAGGAATCTGTCGCTTGTAAACAAAATAAGACGCCATTATGTATTCGGCTGCACACACTGCGGTGTGTTCGGCGTTTCAAGAGGGAACAAGTGCCGTCCTTAATATCATTCCGGGGTTGTTTCAATTTGAAAGTCTGGTTTCTTTGATTGTTAATTAACCCCTATCCTGTGTATTTACAGGCAACATTTTTTTTTAGTTATCACAATCGGGTCATATCCCCTTTTGAATGGTTTGACATGCCATTACATTTATATACACTACACTCATTATAACTTGACAAATAATAGCTCTGCAATTATGTATATTCTTTATGGGATGTCGTCTGCTAGGGCAGTATTGTTCCATATTAAGACGTCAGAAATATCGTTATTTTTCTGGCGAATCTCTCGCATATCCCAGCTGCTAGGAAGGTGGTTGTATTTTTATCTTTATAAATCACCCGATATGTAGTTCACCTAAAACTTGTACGATGGCCATCTGTTAGCTTATCAGTTTCTAGTGATACATTAGTTGACATATTTGTGATTTTCTTTGAATTTCACCTTTAATACAGAATTAAACAACCTCCCTCATCGCTCGTCCTTCTCTCTCTTTCTCTCTCTCTCTTTCATTCCATTTATAACTTCTTTTTTGTTCTTCTTGATGTGGCCTCTTCCATTATATTCATGCCTCTTACCGCGTTTCAAATGTTCTCCTTTGTAGTGCGGGAGTCTTATGATTAGCCAGTTTTTTTGTGTGTTAAGCTCCTACATAAATTCCCTATGCCCACATTGTTATTCAGGTAGTGCAATCAACTTGTATTAATGATTGTCCATATTGTGTTACGTTATCCATAAAATAAATGTGTAAAGACAATAACACTTGATTATTTGAAAACAGACCAATGAAACTTAAATTGAATCATCTGCATTTATCGGATTTATTTTTCTCAATAACTGCCAATTATTCGTATGGCATCAGCATATTCAAGAAATCTTAAAGAATTATACTATTCTTTTTGTATTGAAATTGTCTTTTTTTATTTTTTGGCCACTTCACGGTAAATTGATTTGACAAATGATTCACACACCAGTGAAAATGAAAATTTGATTACATAATACATTGAACGCTATACAGCTTATTAAAATATCAAAAATCTTATTTTCTTTCTTATCTGACAGTAGTTATCCATTGGGCAATCCCCTGCCACCTGCTGTCATGGGCCGCTTTTTTCTCATTGCGTATAGCAATGTATCTCTCCATTTTATACGATTTAATTAGTAAGGAAAAGAAGTTAGAAATATTTGGTTTAACTAATTTGCATCTATTTAGGTAACTGTTTTCTTAGCAATTATTAATATATAATTAAAAAGAATATAATTCTTCGACAATATACCAAGAATTACCGTTTTTCGGTTAAAATCTAGAAATCAAACATAGTCAGCTCTTTTCCGAGCCGATTCCAAAAATCTTGTACTATTGTACATTTCCAAAAAAAATGTTCAATCGTTTCATTTTCTAGGTCACAAAAAGAAGATGATGGGGAACTAATGACTTTTACTTTATACAGTTTTATAATTCAAATTCAGAATATTATTTAATACCTTGAACTGAAATTCTCTGAAAAACTACAATTGATGTAATTTACAATGAATTATACTAGACTTTTAATAGGCCTAGTCAGTAATATGATATCATGAACTGTTTACAAATCATCGTCAGTTTTATTTAAATCATTAGTGTGAAAGGTTGATTAAAGTTTAATATTTCTAGAATGATAGTACTTCTCACTATGAAAAAGAAACAATATCAAATAGATTCACAATCATACCAGATTTTCTTTACCAAATAAGCTTATGAAGAAGAAAACGGTGATTTCCTTTAATCCATTGCAATAGCATGCTTAAACATAAAGGTTTGCGATTTAAATAAAAGATAGGGATTATATAAACATCGAAATAATACATTTATATGTATGTAAATACTGTATATGCCGACTTATTTCACACTCAAATCTTACTAGTCAATAAAACATTAATCTTACATAAATAACACAAAAGGTAACTATAAACATAAAATTCAACTTACAGATATCACTCAACTTTTCATATGTACTTGTACATGTACAATTCATTTTGGTAAGTCATCTTTTCGTTTCGTTTTTATATTTTGACTTTTGCTGTATTGTATTCCTATTCTTTTTCTGATTTCTCTTTCAAACAAATGTTTCAATACAGAATATCTTTTGTCTTTTTCCAGTTTTGTTGCGTTGTCAAATAACCTAATGTACACTCCAGAATGATATGGTTAGAAAAATAATAGACTGGCAATTATTTTCTATTATTAATATGTGCTAAGTGATATATTATAACACGTTGCATAATTATGTAAATATAAAAATGTGATTCATTCACATGGAAATTGTTGACAATTGCATAGAGAACATCAAAAACATCGAGCCATCCGGTGACATTTTGTCACCTAAAAATATTGACATAACCTTAGCACAGGTATTGTAAACTAGACATTAAAAATATACCCTTCATATTTATAATCATCACAAACATACACGCACACACACGCCCACGCACGCACTAGAACACACACATATGCACACATGTATACACTGTTGCTCTGTTGCTCACGAAGTTGGAATAATTTGTCCTTACGTCTTTTCGTGAAAAGATTGTGGCAATATGATTTATTCTTGACAGATACAGTTTATATCTTCTCAGAACTTTATTATTGAATGACCCTTTAGATTAATCAATACAGTTCTAAGAAGGTATAAACGTTATCTATCGACAATAAAAGATACTTTCACAATCATTTCATGAAAAAAGGCACGGTAAAAAAAGATTATTCCAAATTTTGGGGCATAATACATGTACATATGGGGTCAGGCCAGCTCAGGCCATCGCAAAGCTACTTCGTTTTAATCGAGAGTTAAAGCATTATGATAATAATGCTTTATTTGTTTAAAGAATATGCATTGCAGCCCTGTGGCTAAATTGTACAATATTTTTACAAGAGTATTTACATGATCGAAAATACACTAAGTAGATTCATAAAAACACGAGTAAACAATCTTACTACAATTGTATATTACTCGTGAGTGTAACATACACATGTGAGTCTACTATTAAGTGAGCAGTGCGTTTTAAATGTAAAGATGAAGGTTCAAAATAGTATAGTGTGATGTTAAGGATGACCGAAAAAGAAAGAGGAGGGAAAAACAGAGGGAAAGAGAGATAGTGAGATGAATTGGGAGAGAGAGAGAGAGTGGGGAGAAAAGTACAAGGAAAACAGAGGGAAAGAGAGGGAGAGAGCCAGAGAGGAGGGGGTTGATGAAATGAAAAAAAGAAATGGGGTAGGCGGTCATCCACATACAAGAATACTATGAAATAATACAAACATTGGCAAACGTTGCAAGGTAAATTAAAACATTAGAAGAATGAGTTGTTAAATGTATGAGATCGGTTGCTATACTAGGACCTCTTGATATTCACAAATGTCATGTTTTCTAGGATAGCTGCACCTCTATCTTTTTTAAGTAAGTATTTTACAAATCTCTACCAAATGATCTTAAAAGAAAAATACATTTTTAAACAGACGTATATACTTGATGCAAGATTCATACAAGTATTTGCAATCTAGCCCGATACAGCATTCTTGGCTAAGTTTAACACAAGTTAGTCCCTCTAATGTCCCTATACTATCTCCATAGTCCCAGTTGGCTCGGGTCCGACCATCGTACAGCGTACACGATTTAGATGCATTGTAGTATGGCTGCACATTCGAACAAGGCTTTATTTCACATGTCCAGTGTAGACGCATACAATCCTTCATCCAAGTCATTGAGAGACAGGTAATTCTGCGAAAATCAAAAGAAAAGAAGGAAAAGAAGAAGCCAAGATAATCATTTGGTTAGGACTAGAATTATTTTCACGATACCTGTTGAATTCTTAGTAGGTCCAAGGTTGAACAGAGGTTAAAAATCCAGAATAATACAAATGAATATGTAATAAGGAAACAAAATTTCGCATAAGACATGTGAGAAGAAGGTGAATTTGAGTCCATCTTACATGAGTCTTTTCTAGAATCCTTTCCAAACTCTTGAGGATCTGATCAAAGTTAGTCCGATTTGTAGCTTTCTTCTCCCAACAACCAGACATGACCGTATACCTGAAAGATACAAAAGAGACGATCCTTATCTAATGGAAATCTAATATAAATACCTAAATGAATCTAATACAAAGACAAATTCAAAATTCGTATGCAACAGCAGTTTTATTTATATTGTTTGATTATTTTATGTGCGTACCCACTCTATGTACTTCGAGTCGTTTTACTCCAACGGAAGTGTTGAGACGTATTATTTTCAGATTCAGATTCAGATTCAGATTCAAAGATGAGATAGCAGAATCAAATTCCATCATGTATTGTTGGTAAACATATCCGCATGTGATAATCAACATCATTATGAAATCTTACAACTTATTATAGCATCGAGTAAGTCAAGTAAATTTTGAAATTTACGAAACAATCCGTATTTGACGGTAAAGACTGTTATTATAAAAAAGAGCATTAATTACACTTCTTGTCCACAATGGCGAGGGCGTGGCATCTGGTAACCATTGGCAACCTCCTTTTGGACTGTATCAAACGTCATTTTAGGGTAGGGCCTCGCACCTTTAAGAATACAAAATAAATAACATTAAACATTTGTTTCCAATAATACGAATATGTGACATGTAAAGATATGGGGAAAAAATTATATTCATCATAAAATGTATATACAATTTTTCCTCAACCCTTGATAGTACAAGCGGAATTAAGTGAAAATTGTTAGACTAAATGTTATTCATATCTGGGACATGTATTTAAATACGAATAATGCAATAAATTAAAAATCGCTAATATTATCGGTTGGTCATGAAGAGTGGAATAAGTGGCTTGAATTGTTTGACTCTAAAACGCATTAAACAAGTATTAGTCATGGTATATTTTGATTATTTAAGTGCAACAATTTATTTCACTTTACTTAATAACACCATATGATCCACGTGAAGTGGAGGAAACGCTCATTTTCTTGACTCTCGCTCCACTGAAGGTTGAAGTTTTAAATCCCAGCCTGGAATCAACGTCCTTTGGTGAGACATCAATCCATATTTGACCCACTCCACTCACCTGGCTATAATATTGCTAGGGTATTTATAATGACAAGGCCCTCAGGAAGAACAACCGTAAGGATGATAAGGATTCCTATGTAAACAAAATTATTGTCACTATTATTATTATTATTTATTATGATTATTATCATTATACGATAATTTCAGGAGCTTTAAGATGGAACCAATAATAGCTTGTGATATTAACATTATTTGTTCACCTAATGTCACAATTTCCCACAAGACGATACCAAAAGACCAGCTATCTCCTTCTGTTGATTGGTCACCAGTTATCATGGTTTCAGGCGAAGTCCATCTTGTTGGCTTCTGAGATGTTGGAAAATATAAAGAAGGTTTAAAATCGTGACAATGGCTGAATTGTTCACAAATTACAAGCAGATTTGAAAACATATCAAAAACAATATTGCATATGAAAAAAAATTAACAAACACCACGGTCAATAACATAATTATAGTGTATTCATGTATCATTATGGATTAAATAATTGAATGATCTATGATGATGATATATCATTAAATAAGGCGATAATACTCACACCTCTGTCGCTAAATAGTGATGAAGATAGTCCATAATCTGATAGCTTGCATTGCTTTCTATCTGCTAGTAAAACATTGTGAGCGCAGAGAGTTCCATGGATGATCTTTGTAAACAAAAAATAGAAATAGTAAACGTAATTATAACAATAATAAGTAAATAAATGAATAAAATCCAAATTTATACAATTTGGATGTTATTTATACACCTTTGATCATCATAACCATCCTCATACCATACTGGCTTACTCCTCTCCCATTCTTCCACTTTCTTCTTCCATTTGTGTAATTCTCATCCTTCTCGTATCCCCTTTTTCCTCTCCCCCTCCCTTCCCCCTAATCCGTTGTTAATTCTCTTCTATTGCAAGTCATGAAATAAGGTTACCTTCTTTGATGCGAGATATTGCATTCCTTTTGCAATTTGCCAAGCCAGGTTGAGTAGACTACCTTCATCGATACGAACCCTCTTTGGTTTGAGATTGCCGTATGTGGGTTGGGATTGCACCCCTGTGGTCTGTAGATGGGTGAGTAGGGTACCCCAAGAGATGAACTCGTACAGAATGCTACCTGCATCGTGGGCAATTCGTTAATTGAGAACAATAGTGTATGAAACTGATATTCAATATCATGTTTCATTAGACATCATGTTATAGCGAAGGAAAATCCTGTACATTACTCATTAATTTTAATAAACTGTTGTTTTACTATGATTAAACCGATTGCGAGAATTGCTCAAAATGTTACGCACATTCAGGTTAGCTATAGTAATTTTGTTAAAAGCCGTTCCAAATAAATAGGGAAAACGCTCATATTCCAACTAATATATATAGAATTAAGCACACACTCGAAAGATTATTAATTGGCAGAGAAGAATTTTTACCTTGCTCTTGACAATATCCCAGGCACGTGACAACATTCGGGTGATCCGGTAGCTCAGAAAGAACCTTGACAGCTCGAAGAACGTTGGTTGATTTGGTCACTTGATCTACGAGAAAATAAATCTAATTTATAACTATATATTTTTATACAGTAAGTTACTGGTGCACCATGTGAGAGAGAGAAAAAGAGGGTTGAGGAGTCCTGAAAAGGACTCTGACTCGGTAATCTTTCTTGGGGGTGTGTAGTCTTGAAAAGGAATGTGTGTTATCTTTCTTTATAGCATATAGTTCTAAGGAGAACTATATATAACTAACTAATAATATAACTATATATTTATGTTTTCAATTTCGAAGAGAGTCGTGAGTCATTGGCAGAAGAACTCAATCACTCAGTTGTTAAAAAGATTTAGGAGAAACTGTGTAGACGTGGAAATACAAGTATTTGGTTTACTCTTAAAGCGATGTTTTACTGTATTCGTTTGTTTTGGTCATCCTTAAATTGAACTTCTAGAACGCTGAGGGCATCTCTGCTTATTTATGATAAATACAACCTCTCATGATGTTCAAGTTTATAAGCTGCATTGTTATCTACGAAAGCGATTTGCATGTCGGTCATTTTGAATAATTAATTTTGTTTAGGGAGTGGTTGGCAAAACCTCACCGGGAATCTGCCTGATAGCAACGGCTACTTGACTTTGATTCGAGAGGAGTTCTCCCTTCCATACCCCTCCGAAGTCACCGCGTCCGATTGAACCGAGTCTGGTGAAAAACGTCACGTTTTCAGGAGCAATGATAGAAGAGTGGGATTGACCGAGTTTGAGGGATGTGTATGCTATAAAAACAAACATTAGATTATTATTAAAACGATTCTACTACTTGAAAGATCAAATACAAGCAATATTTCACACTCTAAAACAGGGATAAGGCTACCCTTGGATAATCTTTTCTAGATTTCTTTCAAATATAAACCGAAAGTGAAAGAGTATTCACCATAAATTCATAATTTTGTGTGTGTGTGTGTGTGTGTGTGAGAGAGAGAGGGCGAGGTGAATTTGCGATTTAATAAAGCGGCTGTTATTAGATTTAAGTTTTAAAACCCCTGTTTAATGAGTAGGCCTAGCAAAAATCTGATCTTTGAGAATGATTAAGCTAATAATGTTTTCTGTGGAATATATACTTCTACTTTAATAAATTAAGTAATACCCTTGATATTTATTGTTTTTATTTTTTCTTTACCTCTTCAGAGAGACTTTATTGTTCCATTTCAAAATACATATAGACTATTTACAAACAAGTGAAATATAACATATGAATTAAATATAAGATCAACATAATTTCTTAAAATGATCATTATAACATTTCTAATAATTTTGTAATTTCTTCATTATCGAAGTATCTTATATTTTCTTTGTATTTCAAATAACATTTTAATGATGAAATAAAATTATTTATTAACCTCTTTGGATTTGTCGATACTTCCCAAAAGTGCCGCTTTACGTAATCTTTTATATTACCAGTTGAGCATAATTTTGTTTTTTATTAAGTAAAGTAAATTTTCTGTTATTTATTTTATATCCAATCAATAACATTTTCATATCAATTTCAATTTCTATTTTAAAGATGAAATACATAATTCTTGAGATAATTTTCCAGAAAACTCTTAATTTTTTTTAGAGGGCAATATCCTATGAATTAATTTGAACTGAAATACATCTTCTCAAACAAATGTTTCTAGTAGGCCTAAAATATTTTGCCAGAAATGGAAACCAACTTTCTCTTTTTTCTTTTCTAGCATTAAATTATTGTAACTTTTCGCATTAGTTCATTCAACGTTTATAACGTCTAAAGTTGTCTCAATGTACATTGTTTCATTGAGACTTAAAGGTTTGTTAAAACGTAAAGTTTGTGACCTATATTTTGGGATTTGTTTTCTTCAATTTTGACATTTTGAATAAAAACAACAGATTCTTTACATCAAAATGGTTATTGAATAGAGAGTTATCTATCCAAGTTGATAGTTACAATGTATTGTGCAGTTTGGGACAAAATGATAATCAAATAGTACGATAGTATTTGTTTGGTTGTGAAACGTTTTTCAACGTTCTTATGGCAATTTACAAAGCCATTCATCTACCCTTCTTATTTTGTGGGTGAATTTTGCTTCGTGATTAATCTTCGTGGTACTAACGGTTTCATCGTTTTAAACTCTTGACTGATTTTACACATTTTCTCACCTCTATCTCCGTTCTGAATCATCTCATACGCCGTGTTGTCGTTTGCCTCCTGAGATACGTGTCTACTTTCTCTGTGAAAAAAGCGATAGTGAACAAATTACCTTTCTGCCCTAGCCCATAGCCATCTATGTACAGAGTTTGGCCACGTCGGTTCGAGGTTGTCACGCCATGTTGTGACCCAGTGAAAACAAGTTGGCCAAACTCTCCTAATCAATAGCACTGCCCTAACCTATTGTACAGCGCCATCTCATCGAACTAATTTTCAATTACTCGTATTAGAGCAGTTTTGCTCGTTTTTGTGTTATAGTACATAGGTAACATTTTCGTTTTCTACATTACGAAATATGTCTTCATTTTTGTTTTCAAATTAACTACTTTTCAATTCCCTTGAATGTGCAGAGTTTTATACCGATACAAACTCAAGTTTCACTTTACTTTTTAACATATTTGGCACGTAAACACGTGAATAAAGATATCATGCTTAACTTTAGAGGTTTCTCGTATTTCACTACATCCGAATATTGGTGTGTGTGAGAATGTGTGTGAGGGGAAGGGTGTTTGTATGAATATTTATAGATCGATATACAGTATTTATATTCTGTTCAATATTTCGAACTGCTAAATACTAACCTAGAAACGGTTTTCGATGACTCTTCGAAACCTGCAGAAAGAAAAAGAAGAGGAAGAAGCGAATATAGAAACTTTAATGGATATTTTCTGTGTAGAAAATAGGAATCTGGCAAATTTATCAACAAGGAAGTAAAATTTAGCCTTAAGTAAATGAATCTCTATCCTGAGGTATTAATATGGTATGGGTGAATACATTCAGGAAAGCGTTACATGTTATGATATGCAAGGACAAATATCTTCGCTATCAATTTCCGATATTATGTTTTCTCAATCTCTTTGGTAAGGCATTTATCCTCGTTTCAAAGTCCCTTGAAGAGTACTTAAAGATGTCAGTCCTGCGGTTGCTTATTTACAAGCATACACATAGATATTTAACAGTCAGGTATAAACAATCATGAAACAAACATTTACATATCTTATAATCGTTCTGATTCCATCGTGCAACTGTTCTAGTAGAAGATGAATATAGTCACCTGGTCGTGTCTCCTGTCTCCTCAACATGATGAATTGAATGATGTTGATGATGACAGAAGCCACTAACAGGATGGCTAAGACAGCTATACCTGCAGAAGCTCCAGAACTCAGACCAGTTGGCACACATGTACATGGTGTGGGATCTGGATTACGAGCAATGTTTCATACAAGATCTAAAGACACATGCTTCTAGATGAAATCATCAAACCTATGATTAGTTTTCAACAAATACTCAGCGGTCATATGACACATGCGAATGGGACGATTGATCCAGATTCACTACACACACTAACCGAATCATTTGCTTCTACCCTAGACTAAATACTATACTTAATCCAAACATTTATCCTAAACCTAACCTAAAAACCTATTCGCAACCGTCACCCTTACTTAAAACCTAATCTAAAACCCAATTGCAACCCTAACCCTAATCCTTACTCTAAACCTAACCTAAAACCCAATTGCAACCCTAACACTAATCCTTACTCTAAACCTAACCTGAAACCCAATCGCAACCATAACACTAATCCTTACTCTAAACCCTACTTAAAACCTAATTGCAACCCTTATCCTATACTTTTGACGAAAAAAATACAAGGATACAAAAAGATTTTGCCGGAGCAAATGTAAGATCACATACCAGTATTATAACATACAGGTATCTATAGATATATAAAAAAATTTAAGAATCAAATTTATACCCAATAACTGTAATTTAAAACAAAAATTAACCACCGTGTTTAAGCCATTCAAAACAAATATACTAAAAATTTAAAAAAAAATCAGTTCACGTTCTACCGACAGCAACCCTGAATCTTTCTATAGTAGTATATCTTCCAGATACTGAATAAAATAAATAATCAGGGGAATTCCCTATTGAATTCATTGCGATCAAAACAGGAACCTCCTGACGAAAATAAGGAACAATTTGGTATGCATATCCACCTATACTATGAAGCCTCGCTTCAACCATTGCAATAACAGAACTTTGGACTCTTGTCCGTGTACACAAATATACTGTAAGTTAATATTTGCTGAAGTAACTAGGGGGAAAAAACATTGCTTGGATGAATTCACATCCTTTGATATTGATCTTTCTGATATTTGTATATCACATATCATAATTTATATTGGCATAGTTTATAACAATGGCTTATTCATGGGGTGCTTAAAGTGATGAATTACTTGTACAAAGAGTTCATCAGAAATATTGTGACCGATAAATCTCTCCCTCTCTCTCTTCATGAGGAGTCGTTTATATTCAGTTCCTGAAGAGATACGACTTGTTTTACTGTAAACGCTGTTATATTGAATTGAATTGAATTGAATTTCAATTTCAATTTATTAACAACAACACATCACAATAATGACAGTACATATGAACAATCATACAATGCAAAAAATAATACTGATTCATGTATACATAACATAAGAGTAATGTCAATTGAACAGTAATGGTTTTAAAACGATATTTAGAGATACATCTGCATACTATTAAATGTACAAAAGATATATACGTAAATATGTGTATCACTATTATTTAGGTGAAGTTGTTCAATGTGAACTAAAATTTAGCACAAGTGCTAGTCGAGCCTAGTTCCATTCTTTGGCAAGATGTTTTTCTGTTAATTTGTTTATACATATGAATGTAAAACTTGTTTGTTATGTATTTACATATATTCAACAAAATAATACAGTTTCATGTAACTTTTTTACATACTAAAATGGCGAAGAAAAAGAGTTTAAGTGTTAAAGCATTATAATGAAAGGAGAAAAATCTTTGAACAAATAAAATCATCAATGTATTCATGAAAATGAAAAAGATATATTAATATAAATAATATCATACAGGTGTGCGTACGTGCACAAATCCTTTAAAAGCTTAACGCAGCTATAATCGTTAACAAGCAAGTGTATACATAATACCTATTCATCATTGTTTAGATTTTTTGAGTTAAAAATCAAAATAATATACCTTAGTTTATAACCTTGAAACGTTAAAAAGTAAGCTATATTCTTTGAAGTAAAACAAAGACATTGTTTCAACAAATATGTTCAATTTTAAAAAAAATTAACAAAAATGAAAATTATACTTTTGAAAGTTAATTAAAATATCTTGAACAAAAATGTCCCCTCACCTGACGAACTGCTCGTAGTTCCTTCTGTTGTTATTGGTTCTAGTGTTGTAAGAGCATATGCATAAACGTTAGAATTGTCAAACTGTTTATGGAGGAATATCTTTTTTGGGTGATTGTCAGTTTCAAAGAGAAAACGGAGCATCCTATTTTTAAAGCTTGCAAAGTCCACAGCAACAACAAAATATTAATTATAATAACTAGAATTTAATTCGTCACGAGGACGAATAAGGTGGTCTGTCTTCAAGTCTTATGATAGATTATAATATTTACTATCTTGAGAAAGGGAGAAGTTATATAGACATGTAAACAATGATGATCGTCATGATGATCATGATGATGATGATCTTGATAGTAATTGTGATGACGATGATGATGATGATCATGATGATGTTGATGATTATCATCAACAGACCATGATGACATCAGACTGAAAAAAATGAGAGAACATTTAGATAGCATATAGTCTCAGCTACAACATACTCAAAAATCAACAAAAATCAAGCCGAAATAACGGCGATATTGCTCGCAAAAGACAAGAATGTAGAATCCAGATTTGAGAAAAAGTCATCTCCTATAAGGATTACACGCAAGAAGTAATGGATCAAGTGATAATAGGGTAATAATAAAGTAAATATGGTTATTTATTACATTATTTGCGATTGTACGTGTTTTATTGAGCAAAGGAGATGGTACAGTGAAAGGTCAAAAAGAAAAAAAAGTGAAGACAAAAAATTGTTGGAGACGCCCGGACTCGAACCAGGGACCTCGAGGTCGGAAGTCAAGTGCGTTACCGATATACCAAAACATTTCCCATAGAGATTACACGTAAACGAAAAATGGAAATCTCAAATCCCACTTTGTAAGTGAAATATGAGCATGATCCCGGCATCTGACCGAAAAATAAAGGGCACACTTACAATAGCATATTTTCTCAGCTACAACATACTCAAAGCTCAGCGTAAACGAAGATCAAACGACGGAGATATTGCTCACGAAAGACAAGAATGTAGAATCCAGTTTTGAGAAAAAGTCATGTCCCATAGAGAATACACGCAAAATGTGAAAAATTGACATGCCTCCTTTAATCGCAAAAATACGCCATGATACCATTGTGAAAATGAAATATCTTGGCAACTGCATTTGTAGAAAATATTCTCAGGTAGAACATATCAAAATTTGAAAGAAAATTGATCAATATCAACAGAGATACAATCACTTTTCTAAAAATCTGCTGACGTCATAATATGCAAATTGAAATTTTGAGTTCGGAGGCCATTATGATGACGTCATGAGTTAATTGAGGGTCAAATGAGGCATGAAATCATATCTCCAACTCATAATCTATTTAAATATGAAAGAAATTGGGGGGTATCTATCCATTCTGAAGAGTTAAAATGAATTTTGTATAGGCATGTTTTTGCCCATGTATTGTGGATACAGAAAGCGCAGGTCGGCGCGTGCGTTCAACTTTGACAGCCGCTAATTGCGTTATTACTGGTCGGAAAAAGGTAAACAAGGTATCAAAATGCTTGGTAAAATGTAATTAATATGATAACAGAAAAATTTTGGCGATTCTATGTTGCAAAATGCCAGGACGCGCGGATACGCGCGGAAACGCGCGCGCATAATTACGCGCGCGCAAATTTTGAAAATGCTTAAAATGGCCTAGAACGTATGCAAAATTAATTTTAAACGAATCGGAGCATTATAAAATTTTGATGCGCGCATACGTGCGCGTCGAGGTGTGCGCGCAAAATTTGTTAACATTTTTAGTTGACCTTTGACCTGAAATTGATGTATACCAAATATGGTTTATTTTTGATGACTCGTTATCGAGATATGATAATGACCTGATTTTTACAAAATGGCGCCTGGATGACGTCACGATGACCAAATGACCTTGAAAAAGTTGATTATACTTGAAATCATAAGGCTTGATAACTGACAGAAATTTGAAGGAAATTGACCATGTCAATTTCGAGTAAACGTGTGTACAAAAAAGTGTACGGAAGAAATAAAAATAAACTAGAATTTAATTCGTCACGAGGACGAATAAGGTGGTCTGTCTTCAAGTCTTATGATAGATTATAATATTTACTATATTGAGAAAGGGAGAAGTTATATAGACATGTAAACAATGATGATCATCATGATGATCATGATGATCATGATCTTGATAGTAATGGGGATGACGATGATGATGATGATGATGATCATGATGATGTTGATGATTATCATCAACAGACCACGATGACAGACTGAAAAAAATGAGAGAACATTTAGATAGTATATAGTCTCAGCTACAACATACTCCAAAATCAACAAAAATCAAGCCGAAATAACGGCGATATTGCTCGCAAAAGACAAGAATGTAGAATCCAGATTTGAGAAAAAGTCATCTCCCATAAGGATTACACGC